GGCAGAGGCAAGTGGCTCTCTATGAGTTCAAGGCCAGCCTGGTTTACAGAGCGAGTTCCAGGACAGTAGGTTACATGAAGAAGCCCTGTCTCAAAAATCAAACAAAAAGGAATTGTGGACTGGAGATGCAGCATGGAAAGAGAGCACTACAGTCCCTAGCACAGCCTCCCTCCCTGCACCAAATACACACACGCATGCACGCACACGCACACACACACATGCACTCACAAACACACACATACGCAAGCACACACAGACACGCTCATGCACACATGCACTCACAAACACACACATATGCAAGCACACATTGTGACAATCAGCACACACACACATAATTTTGTTTTTGTTTTTGAGACAGAATTTCTCTGTGTAGCTCTGGCTGTCTCAGAACTTGCTCTGTAGACCAGGCTGGCCTCAAACTATGCAAATCCACCTGCTTCAGCCTCTGAGTGTTGGGATTAAAGATGTGCGCCACCACAGCCAGGCCAGAGAGAGATAATGCAAGGAAGGAACATTCAAAAGCATCCACTTTGGATTTGTACACAACAAATAACTATCTTAAGTACTTTGCAAAAATATTCTAGAATATTTTCTACAAGGGCATGCTTTAGAAGAGAGTAAGAGTGTACTAGGGGAGACAGGAAGAACCAGGGGAGCTATCCATGCCCTGCAAAATCACGGGGCAGAAGAAAGCAGCATTCAGCTTCCCACACTGACTTTACAGAATCAGAGAACCCTAGCTTCTCTCAGAAATAAAGACGTGACTCTTGCTCCATTTTTTTTTTTTTTTTAGATGAATTGCACAGATGCCTGGCAGGTTTGCCTGGGAGGAGTCTCCCTTCATACAGAAGAGAACCAATCTGGCCCCAGTTCAGGAGAGGCGTTGCTGTCAATTTTGCTTTGTTTTGGTGGTGTTGAGGATGGGACCCAAGCTCTCACCCTATGCTGAGCTCATACTGAGCCACACCCCAAGCCCTTGGATGTCAATGTGGGATGGTAATCGGAGAGAACCATTCTTTCCCTCTGATTAGTCTCCAGCCTAAAATTCAAGTCTTTTTTTTTCCTGAATAATTTGCATAACAACTTCACTCAAAGGGCTTTCAACTCAAACACTAGGAAAACTGGGTGCCTTTTTTACATAAAAAATATTCCCTTAAATACTTACAAGCAGGCTAAGGTCCTAAGGAAAGTCCAGAAAGGTACAGAATGGGCTGGAGAGATGGCTCAGAGGTTAAGAGCTCTTGCTGTTCTTCCTTGGAACCAGAGTTCGGTTCCCTGCACCCACATCTGGTGGCTCCAGCTACAAGAGATCTGAGATTCTCATCTGACTCCATGGGCACTTACACACACACACACACACACACACACACACACACATTATTTCAGCCTTTCATGTTTTTAAATTTGTTGTAGTTGGAATTTTCATTGGGTTGCCAACCAGCTCTCAAATAAAGACATGGAGACTTATTATTAATTACGAATGTTCGGCCTTAGGTTAGGCTTGTCCCATTAGCCATTAGCTCTTTTAACTAATTCAACCTGTTTGTGTTCATCTACCCTTGCCTTAAGGCTCTCATTCATCTCTCATTAGCCTTCCATTCTGTCCGTCCTATTTTCCTGCTTCCTCCATGTCTGACTGCCTGGCCGCTGGTATCTCCCTGGCGTCTCTTTTTTCCTTCTTTCTTTCTTGGAGCCTAAATTCTTCCTCCTACTTACTCTCTCTACCTGGAAATAATACCTATACCTCCTGCCTAGCTATTGGCTGTTCAGCTTTTTATTAGGCCAATCAGATGCTTTTGGCAGGCAAGGTAAAACAGCAACACATCTTTACATAGTTAAACAAATATTTCACAACCATTTGTAGTAAATTGTAACTTTTCCTTATTAAGGTCCGCCCAGCCTAAAGTCCTCAGAAAATTACCCGAGTTTTCTTCGCTGGGACACCTTTGTTAAAAAGCCCAGCTTTCCCCTCTGATTGAGGATGTCACATTTTATGCCTTTGTTGACGTTCTTTCTTTTCTGGATTCTCTCTTTGGCTCTCTATCAGCTGCCTGTTTGTGTGCCAACATCAGGTTATCCTAGTTAAGATGTTAGAATCTTCTGGCAAATATCGATGGGATATATTCAGAAACTCGTCACTTAGACACAGCAACCATAGTTGGATAGCCTGGAACTATATGTATAGCCCAGGCTGGACTTGAACTTGAATTTACAGCAATCACCCTGCCCTTATCCCCAAGTCCTGAGACACTAAGCATGAACTGCAAAGCCCAGCAATTGCTTTATTTCTTCAATTTCTTGTATGTTTTGGTATTGGTTTTCGGCCGTGCTGGTGATGGAACCCAAGGAGTTGTGCATGCTGTGTGAGCACCTTACTCCTCAGCTCCGTCCCAGCCTTTTAAAAAACCTTTCAAATTTTCACTGGGTGGTGGCAGTGCACGCCTTTAATTCCAGGACTTCGGAGGTAGAGGCAGGTGGATCTCTAAGTTTGAGGCCAGCCTGGACTACAGGGAGAGTTCTAGGACAGTCAGGGCTCCACAGAAAAAAAAAGCAAAACAACAACAAAAACTTTCAAATTTTTGATACAGGGTCCCTTTCTGTCACCCAAGCTGATCTTCAGCCCTTTCCGCAGCTCGGGAAGGTCTTGAATTTACGAAGTTCAATCTCCATGTATTGGGATGTAGGTCTGTGCCACCAAATCCCACTCTAGCAATTGTCTTAAAGTATCTTAGTGTCGGGAATTTGGGAGGTCTCAGTTGGTTCATTCGGTATCACTATTAGCTGACCATTACCAGAGAACTAGTGAGAGTGATTTAGTATTTCAGGTGCAAAGGGAAGTGCAGGAGCAAGGACTGGCCAAGCACCCCACCCTCTCTTTGGGCTTCCTCACAGCATGGTGGCTTCAGACTGTTTGTTTACACAGTAGTTCCAGGTTACAATGAAGTGGTTCCCTGAACAAAGATGCCTTCCCTTTTCTGACATTTCGTGATGTCACGCTGATGTTTGTGGTTTGTGTGTATGCACATGTGCATGCAGGGGCACGGGAAGGCAAGAGCTGACACCATTGTCTTCCTTAGAAGTTTCTCACCTTATTTTTTAAAGTGCCTTTTGAGATTGTCACTTATTCCCTGCCTCCAAGCTGAGGACCAAACCCAGGGCCTTGTGCTTGCTAAGCAAGCACACTACCACTGAGCTAAATACCTAATCCTATGTCACTGACTTTTTTTAAAAAGGTTTATTTACTTTATTTGAGATATATATATCTCATATATATATATCTCATATATATATATGGTTTTTTTTTTTTTCGAGACAGGGTTTCTCCGTAGCTTTTGGTTCCTGTCCTGGAACTAGCTCTTGTAGACCAGGCTGGTCTCGAACTCACAGAGATCCGCCTGCCTCTGCCTCCCG